ATACGCAAAACTTCATCAAATGAATCCTTGAAAACGGCGCTGGTTGTTTAGTGAACCGAAATTAGTTAATGGGACCCCAAAACCGTGGGGAGAAAATATGCACCGAGGGCTTTTCGACATTCAATAATTTAAATTATAATTTTTTAATATTCGAATATTATTTGAAGAACCTAAAGGCTGTACGAATAATGTACATACATACTTTATTATATTATAGGATAATGTTATAAAAGAAAAGAGAGCAATTTGTACTTCAGAGTCAATGTCAGGCTGCTCAAAATAATAGGTACACTTTAAGTTTTGTTATGAAAAAAGTTTGTTAACTGATTATTATTATTTTTTTGTTGCCTAAATGGGGTTTATAGTTAATATCCGATGTATCCACCTTGATTTTTTGTCACCTTTATAATTATTTTTGGCGTACTTGTAATAAGCGTCTGGCAGGTGTCTCATACCTCAATTTTTGGACGCCCTCGCATAATTTTTGATTATTTGAAAATGAAAACTTAGCTAATTTTGTTTCGTAAATCTTCCCACAAGTTTTCGATTGGATTTAAGTCGGAAAATTTAGGAAGCCACTTTAAAACGTCTATTGTTTGGTCCTCAAAAAAGTTGGTCAAAAGCTTAGATGTGTGCCTTGGGTCGTTATATTACTTAAATACCCAATGGAAACTCATGTTTTCTTCAGCATAAGGTAGCATAACTGTCTGCAATCTGGGTTTGTATTGCTCAGCGTCCATTCTGTTCGTTGTCAGGAAAAATGGACCTACGCCGTACCAGGATGAGCAGCCCCATGTCTTTTAGCTGGCACCTCCATGTTTGAGAAATTTTTTGTTTGAAACATGGATCAAAATTCTTTCGTTTAGGGCTTCCTACATTGCTTTCACATTCATTCCCTAATAAATTTATTTTAGTTTCGTCGCTCCATAAAAGGCTTCTCCACTTTTTCTCTCCGGCGCATCCTGCGCAGTCTTTATGATCTTTAGCAAAAGTTTGCCCCATGGCTAAATTTTTTTGACGCGTAAGTGGGACCTTTCTTTCTATTCTCCTTGGAAGGCTGGCTTGTTGTAGCCGTATACGGATTGTTGGAGCACTAACTTCTAGTGCAATTTCTGATGCAATAGCCTTTGACGACTTAAATGGGTCCTTATTTCTCAAAGAAAAGTATGTAGTGGTCAAGTGTTATGGTTGTTTTCCGTTGCTTTCCGCGAGTTTCCTGACTAGGTTTTAATTTTTAAAGCATTGTAACAAAATTATGAGACCTTTTCATTAATTTGGCAATGGCCCGAAGAAATTGGCCTTCTTTTTTCAGACTAAGAACCAATTGGGCTGTACAATAAGACTTTCGGCCTATTCTTGTAAGAAAAAAATAATTATTTGTTTATATTTAGACTGTTGTTAAATGAAATGGATGTTTAATTGCCAAAAGTCAAGAATTTCCAAATTATTCACTTGATATTCAAAATTTACTGACACTGTACCTATTATTTTGATCAGCCATAATGTGATGTCAACTCGCAATTTCGCTTAAAGCTCTGTTATTCGGCGGTTTCCCTGTTTCATTTTTTTGTCACGGAACTGCAATACATTGACAAATGAAACATACCAAACAAAATTTTGTTTTCAACACTTAAAGTACGATAAAACTAATTATTAATGAAAAGCTTCAAGGTGTACCTATTATTATGATCAAGTGTGTACATATGTGCGAAAAAGTGCCATTTTTGTTTGAGTTCATTTTTATGAGGACCCCCTCCCCCCAAGTAGAACATTTTAATTTTAATAAGAACAGATTATATAAAGATGGGTCTTTAATATAACAACATTTTTGTGGGCTTATACAGTACGAATAAATGTTGGTCATACTGTATATCGAGTTTCTAATTGTTACGATAATTAGCTTTTTCACTAGCTGTTGCTAATTACAATAAAAAATCAATAAGGTACATTTATTGCTAAGGGAACGCGAAAGTATGTACATGTGTATTTTGAGTGCATGACGATCGGCGCAAAAGTCATTGCAAGGGCTGGCGGGCCGAACTGCCCGTGCCCTACGCAGAGAGTCTTAGAAAAGAGTGGGTGAGAGAAGGCGAATGTCAGAGCAGCTCGTGGCTGCTGCCAAGCCGAGCACGAACGATAGAGCGCGAGAGAACAACTGGATGCTATACGCTATAGCTGTAGAAACGAAGCGAGGAAGACTGAATAGAAAGAAGAAAGAACGGCCGCTGCCGTGCGTAAGCATATGCGGTTAACAGTGCGGTTCATCTACAGTGGGCAGTGCAAGTAGCGAACAATTAAAGGGATTTACGTTGGCCAGCGCGACTATGATTTAGCTACGATGTTTATTGAATAAATATAACCCTAGCCCTTTGCCTCATACATTGCTCTTTTCGCTTACCATCTTCCACCGTCCTCTTTTTTCGGCAACGCAATTCATGGGCGCACATTTCCTTCTCGGTCGAACTTGGCAACAGCAAGGGCCACTGTCCACCACGAGCCAGCTCTTATCGCCTTTAGATCTTACGATCGATGCCCTCTCTGAGAGAGTCTCTCGTTTACGCACTCTCCAACCGACGCTGCACTCCAGCAACAACAACGCAATAGGCAAATCGAAAAAAAGAACGGCCCGCAAAGTAGCAAATCTCAAAAGTAGAACCGACGAGCATACACTCGTAGAAAAGGGGGATACCAAAGAATACACTTCCAGAATTAAATTGAATATTCGGTTTTTAAATAAATTAAAGTGATCTAAAATAAAATTAACATGTCCTCGTTTATTCCCGCACATCCAAAAGACTTAACTACGGTTTTGTATTGATAGGTTCTTGAAACGATAATATTGGTCCAATACCCTCGGATTGGTCCAAAATCATCTCTGGCTCGCGCCCGTGAGTCAGTGGGAACCCAAATGAGACTTCGATTTGAGATGCGATCTGATATTGAGTTGCGATTTGGAGGTTTTCCAGTACCCACAGCACAATTATTCAGGGCAAGAAGAAAAAATCACGAAAGCCATCTCGAGGCCAAAGACAGACCCAAACAGAGCTCGGCCAAAGACATCTTCGTAAACTTGAGAGCCAAAAGACAGACAGACACACACAGCATTGAGTCTGACATTTGAGTTTCAATGTCGCTAATAGAAATTGCAGATATCTCTGAGATATCTCAGATATGGGGTGGGTGTCGCAGCAATGACAAACGATCCAAAAGATCTTGGGGTTTTTTTTCCATTTCAATTGAAATCAATGCAAAACCAAGCAATCGGTTTCCGAGGCGTGTAATTGTTGGAATGAATTACAATTGATGCCAGTGGCACAGTCTGGGTCTCAGTCTCAATTGATTTGTCATATGAATCTGAAAAGAGAACAATGCGCAGTTGTGGCCGTCAGCAGCGACACCTTTGCAACGGTACGATCTAAATTTAGGCACAGCCACAGCCACAGCCTTGCAGTCGGCTTTGGGGGGTTCAAAAAACTTTCGCTTATCAAATTACCTACGCCCAGACCCATGCCCATGCCCAGACTTAACCCGAGACGTGGCCCCACTCTTTTGGGTCTTTGTCTCTCAGCTCTCTTGGCTTTCTACACAAATTGCAAGAGAAATGGCAAGCCCAAAAAGTGCATTTAATGACAGCCAGACAAGACAGTCTGACTGCCTGACTGAATGACGGACTGGCTAAATCCAAACAACGAGAAACACAACTCAGAAACCGAGTTAAGAGCTAACTTCGGCCGAGTCTGCAGCAAAAAGAAGGGCAAAACGCGGGCATAACTAACGACTTAACAAGCAGACAATACAACTCGGAATATATATAGGAAAACTCTTTAGGAAAGCCCCGACCCAAACCCGAACTCCAATTCCACTCCCACTGTCGTGGTGAACAGGGAACTGTCGAGAGTTTGATGACGAGAGCGAATGCTGTAAATTATAATTTTATGACAGAAAAGTTTTAAAAGCCAATAAATTTGTACCTGGGATGGAAAACCCCGAGGCCAGCAGGCCAAGAAATATGGCGGAAAACTATTGGAAAAGATTGTCGATGGTACCTTGAAATGTGGGGACCTGTTCGAGATGCACTGAGAGAAACAAGTCAACTATCGACCACAACTGGAGCGAAGGAGTAATACCCACGATCCATTTAGTGTACGCTTTCATTATGCCTCTATTCATGAGGGAACTTTTCGAACAAACTTAACTTTTCGCTGCACTTACCCTCCCGAAGGGGGCTGGCCTCGCGAGTGTAGTCTGTCGAAAGGGTTTAGGGAGGATTATTATGCATATTGAATGCGAGTCCGTGTGCGAGTGGGAGTGCGAGGCGACTGGCGACTGGCGACTGGCAAATGCACAACGAGCCAGAAAGGTGAGGCACAGGGAAAGGGTTCATAATTGGCCGTGACTTTGGTTTCCAAGTTTTATGCCTGTCAGCCGCTGCACTTGGAGGAATGGGATAGCCGGGAATTGGTTGGGTTGGGTTGGGGTCTGGTTCCAGAGTGGGTACGTAGTACCGGGAAGACCTTTTACGACCCCTTTTGAAGAAAATATGAACAAAGTTTTGGGCTTTTGATGACGCCGCTTGTCGTCGCCGCCTTGACAATGAAAACTGCTAACTGCCATGGACTCTGGCTGTCGCTCCGACTGACGGACTGGGTTCGGTTTATGGTCTGTGCTGTGCTGTGCTCCCTGACATGTCATTGATATTGTCGTTTCGGGGGCGTTTCTCTCCACCATTTATCGTACAGCGATTTGGGTTTTATTTATGGTGTGCACTTGGAATGCGCACTGCTCGCCGATGCTATATTATTTATTATAATGATATTTCTTTGACTTCTCGTTGTGGTTCGTTGGTTTCCCAGCTACCAGTTACCGGTTACCGGTTACCGGTGCACCCACACCCCCTGCGGCGGTTAAAGGGTTAAAAGTCAAGGGCTTATACAACAAAAACCTTTTGTTTTGCTAACGTATTTTAATGTATTTGTACCTTTTCTTTTCCTTATTTTCAGTTGGCCCCAACAACCAAAACAAATGCAAATGTGCGCCCCAGAGACGTGCCACCCCGAAAGTTATCAATCGTAAAACGTTGGAGGAGTGGAGAAGAGTGGAGAGTGGCGAGAACTCAACCGGTTAAGCGGACAAATCTCCTTGGATAAATATCTTCTTCTGGATAGAATCGACAATACACAAAAGTCGCCAAAATGTTGGATCGATGCGAAATGCCGGTAAGTCATTCAGCATCCGGTATAACAGATCTTCTTTTCCGAATCCTTTTCTGAATTGTTAAAAATTCAAGAGTGTATGATCCTCAGTTCCCCTGATCGAAGATCGTTTTCGAAGAGATCCAACCATGCAAAAAATGGAAATGTTTTTCTAAATTCTTTGATAAATATGTACAACAAATTTATTCATTCAAATTGTAAACAATATGAAGTGGAGCACGAATCGAAAATATATGAAAGGCAGGCGCTTTTTCAGCCTCTTTTTGGGGCATCGATTCTCGGGCTACAGTCCCCTCCAGGAGGAGGATCATAATACCTGCTGTTCGAGGGATTGCAAATGTTTCATGGGTATCGCTTCGTCTGCTCCACAGATCCAGCTGGACAATGAGAAGCTGCGACGAGATGTGCGGCTCTCCAGCTCCCGCCTGGACCTGCCTCAGCTCTGCAATGGGTCGCGGCGCGGCCTGGATGGCCACAACAACCATGTGGCAGTGAATGAGGCCGTCACCACAACGACGTCCCTCAATGGCAACAGCAACAGCAGCCACAACAACAACAACATTGGCTCCCCCGTCTCCTCGTCGACCACCAACAGCAGCAGCAACGGTGGCAACGAGCGCGGCTCCTCCACCAAGTCCAACAGCAGCAGCGGCAGCGGCAGCTCCGGCAACTCGGCCAGCAGCACAGGCAGCGGCGAGCTTAAGTGCAACACGCCCATGACGCCATCTGGTAAGGAAAACCAAAACCAAAGACCCTCAAAATGGGAGTGCGAGAGGGGATAGGGATGGGGATAGGGATGGGACTCTGGGGGCTGCCTGGAATGCCTGGCTGAAGCTCAATGCCAATTAGAGAAGGATGAGGATGCCCCACAGCCATTTGATCCGCTCTCGTCTTTCCGCCTCTCCTCTCCTGCTCACTAATTAATTTTATACAAATTGTTAGAAAATAAAACAGCCATTGAGGTCAGGGTCAATGGGGGACTCTAGAGTGCGGCGTTTGCCACATGGGAAAATTCTCAATTACTTTTGCTTTTCAGTTGGTTGTAAATGCAAAAAGAGAAATTCTGTTTCATCCCAAAAATTCATGGCAAAACAGTTACATTTTTGACTAAATCAAAGCTCACTTTGCACATTTCATATATATTTTCCTAATGTTTCCATATTTTTGTTCCCTTGATGGATTTCGCCACGCAATCACAGAGCTGGTTAAGAAGTTCCGCAACTACCTGACCGATCTGGAGTTCGAGGAGCTCAAGGTGTACAAGGAGGTCTGGTACTTTGGCCAGCACGCCAGCAAGAACTACAACAAGCCCGCCCCCACAGCCAACACCACGAATCTGGGCTATGACGACGATAATGGCAACTACAAGATCGTAAGTGGATCGCTGGATCCCCCCCACCCATATACTACTGACATTACTGACTGGATTTGTATTTGTTTTCAGATCGAACACGATCACATAGCCTTCCGTTACGAGATTTTGGAGGTGATTGGCAAGGGCAGCTTCGGGCAGGTGATCAGGGCCCTAGACCACAAGACCAACACACACGTGGCCATCAAGATCATAAGGAACAAGAAGCGCTTCCTCAACCAGGCCGTTGTCGAGCTGAATATCCTCGACGAGTTGCGCGAAAAGGACGCGGATGGATCTCACAATGTCATCCACATGCTGGACTACACATATTTCCGCAAACATTTGTGCATTACCTTCGAGCTGATGAGGTGAGTCCTCGCGGTTTATGCTTGGGGAGACACTCATCTGTGACGTCAATGCAGATTAAGTAAGCCTTGGATTCGGCTGCCAGTCACGAAACGCCACACAATATATAGACTCTGCTCTGGCTCTGGCTCCGCTTCAATTAAAAGCGCGTATAACTCGCATTTCTATTAACATTCTGCCAATTATTTGTGCCAACTTGCATGTTGCGTGTTGGCTGGCCATAAAATTGTGGCTATTATTAATTTCCATGCTTCCAAGTGCCTAGCACGCATTACCGAAGTCCTGGTGCCTCCAACATACTCACATATGTGCGATGTCTACCCATTTTGATTGTTCTCCAGTTTGGTTTTATTGGTGGACGTATCATATGGTTGGGTTTCGGTTCGGTTCGGTTCGGTTCGGTTTTGTTAGGCCCATAAATTCTGACTGCTTGTTTATGGCCTCCTTATAAATGCTCTTAAGTGGCATTCATAATTCGTTTTACGAGTGTTTTCACTTGATCACTAGATTTGGCTTCACCCTGCCATCAATCCCGGCTCTAATGCGTTTTCCTTCCACCCATTTTCCGGCCAAACAATATAAATTTCTATTTAATTTCCTGGCCCTGGTCCTGCCCCTGCCCCTGCTCCTGCTCCTGCTCCTGCAGCCGACTGTAATTTTACATGCCACAAAAGCGCAAACAAGCGCCCGACGCAGACACAATCTGAATCAAGTGCACCCACCGCAGGCGGCGCTCGGCTATCAATTTCAATTTGAATGTTGAATGTTGTGTGTTGAGTGTGTGGCCTACTTGCAGGCGCAGCAACGTGTGGCACGCCTCCTCTCGTCATGCGAGTGTGTGTGCCATGCTTAGGCCCGACCTGTTGTTCGTGGCACCCTTGCCGTGGGATCAGATGGATCCCAGATGGAGCAGGGGAACATATGTATATCCTTGCAGCCGTGGCGTAGAAATCTAATTGATTGGCATGCCTCGACCTGAGCAGGGAACCTCAGGTGTTGATATAGTAGAGGCTATGTCCGGGGAACGGGGACGGAGACCGGAACCCACTGCATACGGCTATGTCAAAGTTTAGACAGCGAGCAACGCAAATATGGTAAAAATAAGACTCGTTGCAAATGCTACATCGTGAGCAGCACGCGATGCAACACAGCCATAGTTGGTGGAAAGCGAACGTCGAAGGTCGTCCTTTTGTTGTTGTTGTTGTTGTTGCTGTTGTGTTTCCCTCTCCGGTGCCTCTGACATTTCCGTCAGTCGCCGGTGACTAATTTGTCTTAATTGCCAGCCTACGAAAGTTTTTCGCTTTTTTGCATTTTGAGGCTCCATCCAGTTGACATTTTTGAGCACTGATTTGGGGGATTCGGGGGATTTGAATGGGCTAGTGGCACGCCATCGGAGAAGCGGCCTCCTCCCTCTCCTCTGTGCTCCTCCCTAATTGCAGACAACGCTCGGCAGTGGATGGAGAAGCCGAATTGAATCGTTAATCCAACATCATCCATCCCCCGGACGGAAATTTAATTAATTATTTGCCCTGCGACTAATTAGCCGCAAAATCGCTGTTTTTGTTTGTTTCTTCGAGGGCGCACTTGTTCTTTTTCTTTTTTTCTACTTTGCTCTTGCCCTGAAGAAGTTTGCCCGCAATGGGAAAACTTTGTCCGAGTGCGGTCCGAGGGGCAGCACATGGGAAGGGGCGGGCTGGATGGCAGGGAACCGCATTGACAACCCGGTGGCAAGTTTTAAAGTTTGTTTTGAACGAGTAAACAAATTGTATGGTAAGTTTTACGTAATTAAATTCACGTGCACGCAATTTAATCTGCATGGCCCCTCCACGGGGCCTGCTCCACCAGGGGGCAGAGGCAAAATGGGATTGAGTTCGGGTGATTGGATTAGTGGTTTAGGTCTAAGAAACAATTCTTGGGGTTGGATGACAGGAGGATAGCAATGACTAATTGGAACATTTCTCTTCAAGGTTCACTTGATCTAAGGCAGTGACACTTGTGTACATAAATAGTAGTCGTGGAACTCAGTTTCTACTATTTTCACATACATCGGCACATATCCTGCGTATGCAGCCCAAAAGTATGCACTCGAAAGCGGCGAACTCTGGAATTTCGTGTTCAAAGAGCGAAACGGAAGCTTCGCTTCAACTGATTTCTGGCTACAATAATAGACCGATCACAATGTTTCTGCATTCAAATATGATAATTTGTATGATTCTGATTCAAATCTTCGAATCATCTTCATGATTTTTCTTTTTGGTAGCGGACCGTGGCAAAGATAGATTCCAGATAGCTGGACACAAAATCGGGTTGCTATAGCTCGGCTATTGGTGCTGACCTAGAAAATACATGCATACTTTATGGGATGCGTAACGGTGCCTTTTGGCTGTTATCTGTCTCAGACTCTCTAATGCTGCAGTTGCCGAGAATGCAAAAACAAAATACGCACAGTGTATCTCGACACGACTCAAGTCTCCCTGGTGAGAGTTTTTCGTTTATTTTTTAACTGCTGATCTCCATGAATTTAATAGTATACCTCCCTGTACTCTGCAAGAACTGGGCTTGGACATTTTTTTCGGCTAACGAAAGTTAATTCTCATTTTGTGGAAGTCCCTAAATGGCAAGGAAGGTCCGCCAAGCTGATTAACTAATTAGCAGACTGCCCTTACTGTGTGTGCAAATATGAAACCTAATCTGTGTCTGTGTCCCCAAAGTGCCACACACACGCCCACTCATTCAAGGACTTAATTTCGCAAAAAGGACAGAGAGTGTCATGAAGAGCAGCACCGCACCGCACCGCAGCGAAGGATGGTAAAAACTAAATTGACGCCAAGTGACACATTTTCGCAAGAACACACACACACAAATACACAAAGAGAATGTCTGGGAAACATTTGGATGGTTTTCCCTCCATTCGACCCTGGCAGGTGGCAGCTTCAGGCTCGTCTGGGACTTGTTTTAGCATTATGAGCCACATAATTCACAGCGACGGCTATAAAATGGGAGCTGTGCCAAAGACAGCGAGCAGAGGGCGGAAGATATAGCGACACACACACCACACGGAGCGCCCATAGCTATGCAGCATATTGCCCCAATGACGATGACGCAGCTTCGCTTTCTCGTTTCTGGCCAAGAACATGCCTCAGCTGCCCTGTGGATGCGGCCAAGTTTCTGGCTCTGGCCCTGTGTGGGTGTGTGCCTGAAGGCACATAAATTGCAGTCTAGTGCTGCCTGGGCTCCCCCTCCCTGGGCGGGACAAGGGAGGAACCCACTTCCACTCTCTCAGCGGCTGCTGGCCATGTCATATGTCAGGATTTAATTTCAATTTTTATGACCCATAACGAGATGGGGACAGCGATAATGATCGGGGAATTAATTTGGTTTGAAAGTCAGTTTAGCCGCGGAATGAAATTTAAATACAGATGAAGGTAGTTCGGAAGGTAACTGCCTTGAGGAGACCGATTCTGGAGTCGAAACAGAGGAGTACATTCCTAAAAGATTGCTCCCATGGATCCCACCTGATGCGGCGCATCGATGCTCAAAATTCTGCAAAACAGAATGCCCGATAATGGCAAGAACAACATACATGTCATGTTCGTGACGCGGAGCAAGTCTTTGCTTAGCGTAGCACTACATCAGGAAAGGATCCTTCGCGCATAAACAGCGGGGTCTTGGACTTCGCGTAAGACCTTTCAGGCCTTGAATATTGCTCGTACGAGCATTTATGTGGAATTTATTCCGGAATGGAACAGAAGCAGTGAAACATTTTCATTTAAGTGGAAATGATAATTAAATTACGAATTCATTGAAAACTTTCCTTAAGCTCATCGCATAAATCAAAGTTAATTAAACGATTGAAAAGCTTTCAACAACCGGACGGAATGGTGTACTGTCCAAAGTGCTGACAACACCTGCGCTTGCCCGTTCATCGCATGTGCATACATATATGCACCATATGCAGAATCAAAGTGAACATTGAAATTAAATTGAAAATGTCCCTTTTTTATGCGTTTTGTGACCCACTTTATGGGCGCCGGATTCCTACTCGTACTCACACTCCGAGTCCCACACAACCAGCCACACCCTCTGCCACGGCCAGTCCAGCCGCCTCAGAGCCGATCAATAGAAAACAGATGCAGCATGTGGTCTGGTCCTGTTTCTGGTCCTGGTCCTCCCGTCGGCCATGTAATTGACTATTTCTGACAGGCTGCCTCGCTGCCTCGCTGCGTGTGGCAGTGACATCCACGACTGACAGGAGACGAGGACGCGTCATCGCCGGCACTGGAGCACTCCTGCTGGCCAAGGAAAAAGAAATGTACGAGCTGAAATGATTTTTAATTAAAATGCAACATGCGGCGAGCGGTGTGCAGGGGCGTGGTCTTGCAAATGAGCAGAGTCCTGCAAGTCTATTTTTTAAATTAATTTTTGCACTTAGCGCGCGTGTAAATTGCAATTTAAGGAGACTGAGGAGCAGCAAGGACCGCAGAGAGAGGGGGATCAGGGGGATCCTGTGGATTGAGTTACCAAGAGAGTAAACATTCCTCCGAGCCGTGCTGAAAACGTTGATGTAGGTTATTATTATGCCGTGCCAGGACACAGTAATTACTGCTAATTGACATTTCCCGAGCATTGCGTTTGTTTGACGGTCCGTCAGGAGGGGGCCAGGAGGCAGCAGCAGGGCCAAGGCCAAGTTATTTGCCATCTGGTGAAAGGTGAAGAAGACTCCCCCTCTCTGTCTCTGGTGGAACATCTCATATAGAACTGTTTCCGTGATTATTAATGGTTCGGTTCTGCCGACTGTCACAGGACCGTCGACGACTAATTAAAATGTGCCACACAACGAATAGAAACGAGAGAGATATTTTGTTTGGGATTAGGGCCTTGGGCCGTCGAGCCAAGGTCGAGCCCCGGCCCAGAGTCGTCCCACAGTCCCAGGGACTGGGCATCATTAATTCAAGAGGCTTTCTGCTGGTGGTTCAGTGCTTAAGCTGCTTAACTCGAATATTTATGGATATTTAAGAGGGAATCCACTGAAAATGGATTTATTTTCAATCTTTTCCAGGAACACTCCTTAATATTTAATGAACTTTCGCCTGGCAATCGATACCCCCAATCCACCCACTGCTCCACCAAACGGTGACGCGGTGGAATTTGCTATGCAAATCAGGACAACAGCAGAGATTGAGGCGCCTCGTCCGGTCCCAGTCGCTTGTCAATCAATTTCAAGGCGCTCTTTTCACTTTCCCCAAGAAAACCAATTTCGAATTTATGCTGAAACTTGCCAAAAAAAAGTTTTCCCTTCCGAGCCGAGCCAAGTTGAGCCGAGGTGACACAGTTCTCGGTGCGGCGACAAGTTCATTTGTGGCCAATTGACAGCCCTGAAATAAGCCATGAAAAATGTGTTATGGTCCTGCGAATATCCCCAGACTTAGCCGGCAGTCGGTGACAGATACACGGATACTCGACGTACAGATCTGAGCTGGAGATATAGTAGAATAGTAGACCTTCGAAGTTGATGTTGTTTATGGTGGGCGTATTATCCATTCCGTTCACTTTCACTCTCTCTCTCTCTCTGTCTCTTTGCCCCTCATGTGGGGGCACTCTCCTTTCTGCCCCTTTTCGGTGTGCTAAATGCAGGCATTAGTGGCTCGTTACAGTTGCATGTTGCAGCTGCAGAAGGAGCAGGGCGGGGCGCAGGGCGCTGGAGCAAATCAATCAAATTACCAACGGAATTTCGGCACGGAAAAAAGCGCCCAGACCGCCACAGCCGGGGCCCCAGCAATTCTCAAGTTCAGGGCAGACTGCAGACTCGTGGACTTTTGACATTGGTTCTATGTGGCATGTCATAATGCAGTTATAAGGTGCATTCCACCGAGCATGCCCCTACACACATACGAGTATGCGCCACTGGGCCGATTTGCCGATTGAAATTATGACATTTTGATGATTTCCTTATTGGTTTGTTATAGACCCTCTGCCGTCTGTCTGCCAATAATTGGGTCCTCGTAAAATCAATGGCAATCCCTCGGAAATTCGTGCTTTAAAGCCGCCGCGGCGGCACTTAAAGCCTTGCCATTTTGGTATTTCGCGCTGCCTGCTTTCGGGCGCCAGTCGGTGCATTGGAAAAGTTTTCAAATTAAAAGCCCCGTGACCTTTGCGGTCTGTACTGCGCTCTCGCTACTCTCTCCGCTCCCCTCAAAGCCTCGACAGTCATCTATGCCATGCCATTATGTGGCCTGAAGGGGCGAAGACACGCGGCCTTGACGCCTCTTTTAAGCCCAGGCCCAATCAGCTTAGCGGGCCTTTCGGAGCACTTAGCAGCTCGTATGTAGATGGTTGTGTGAGGTCGGAGAAAAGGGAAAAGGGCCTCTGCCTCAGCCGACATAAATTTTAATTGGATTACCCCATGAACCATCCTGTAGAACATGGGCCTTTAAGCCTCATGTTAATATATGTGGTATTCCTTGCGTGGGATGAACACTTTCATTTTCCTTCTCTTTAACAGCAGCTTTAACCTTTGACCTCCCTCCTACACACACACACACACACACACATCCGCCTTTCTGTCGTCTCATGCCATCGCCAGTTATTGCTTTCGGCATTCTCCATCTCTACATAGTATACGTATATGGGTCAAGCCTGTCAAAGGAGCACTCACGAACAGGCGATGAAGTTATTGATAGCAGGCTCGAGAGGAAACGGAAATGGTGGCGACTTCATAAGTTTAGATTTGTGGAGGATGAATGAAGGAAAATCTGCAGCAATATGCGAAGAGATGAGTCCTGGGGCTGCCACAGAAACTCATCAATCATCCGTGCTACCCGCACCGTACCCACTGTATGCCATCAATTGACCAAACTTTCGCATTGATCAACTTTGGTTATCGTTATCCTTCCCCCCCATTGCGTGGTGGGTGCTGGCTTGGTTGTCTATTTGGTGGTTACATTGACATTGAGGGACAAAAGACTCCTTTGTTATCAGTTAATTAATCGCCAAAAATCGCCGAAACTGCGAATGCAAAACCTATTCAGACAACAGAGGGGAAAAGCCCAGCTAATGGGTTGACAAAACAAGATACATTTCTGCCCCTGAGGGGAGGGGCTGTACCGTGGAACATTTTAGAGTATTCTTTAATATTCTTGCGACATATTCCAGAATGAAATCTGCAATTGATTGCTTGTGCCACTGTGCCTGAGCCGTCGGTATTCTGGCAGCTCTTTTTGGCTCGTTGTTGGTTTTTTTGTCGTTGTCTGCTGGCTGCTCCGACATTGTCCATAAGGTTGCTCCTGCCTCACCTGCTGACGTTGAAGGGCTGAACGGCTGAACGTTGAATGCCTAAATTTGTGCCCGACATGCAATGGAAATTAATTCGATGCATGTTGCCCCGTGTTGCCGGTGCTCCGGGGCGGGCTTTAAGCGGCACAGCCGGCATTTGACTTGCCTCCGTGCTCGGCGTGCACCATTATACTGCACGGACTCCACTAACAATCCCCCTGTCTCACTCTCTCTCTGTCTTTGCAGCTTGAACCTGTACGAGCTGATCAAGAAGAACAACTACAATGGATTCAGCATGAGTCTGATCCGACGCTTCTGCAACTCGATTGTAAAGTGCCTGCGACTGCTCTACAAGGAAAACATCATTCACTGTGATCTCAAGCCGGTAAGTATATACTGATATACTGCCATACCATCACTTGGATATCACCGACTGGCTTCCCTTCCCGCAGGAAAACATCTTGCTCAAACAGCGCGGCAGCAGCTCCATCAAAGTGATCGACTTCGGCAGCTCCTGCTATGTGGATCGCAAGATCTATACCTACATCCAGTCGAGGTTCTATCGCTCCCCGGAGGTGATTCTGGGCCTGCAGTATGGCACGGCCATCGACATGTGGAGCCTGGGTGAGTGTGTGGGATTTTCAGAGCCCACTTTTAATTAAAAACAAGCGGCCATGCTGTCGTGCATCGAGGGAGGAACGCCATGAAATTTTAAGCGCTGCTCTGCATTTGGCAGTCAAATTTAGTGCACACACTCCGGTCCTGTAAATATCCTTGGATATTGTGGAAAACGCATTAAGCATTCTATGGTCCAACTGCCGGTGAACGTGGCTGAGAGCTTCAATGGCTGCGGGTTTGTGGGTCACGAGCTGGCTCCCACTTCCACTCCCACGACCACTGCCGATTCCCGTTCGTTCAATTGACCTGGCCAAAACCAAGAGCTTAGAGCCCAGAACTCAGTCGAGTGTAAAAACACGCACTATGCCAATTAGCAGCAACAGGCAAGGCAGCAGTAAAGGCCCAGAAGGAACAAAGAGATATCGGTTCAAAGGTGGCGGATGAAGGGGCCACATGGACACTCAACAAGTGCCCCACTTGAAGTTTATGTATACAATAATTTTGCCCAGCTCTGGCCCGCTCTTAGCCACTTGGAATGGCACTTCCTGGCCACCCCGCACATCCTTTTAGCGCCCATTTCCGACCACAACCACGTCCGGTCAGCGTTACAAAATATCGTGGGCTCCTGCCAGAGAGAAAGAGACAGAGAGACGGAGAGAGAGAGAGACCGACAACAAAAGACTCATTAAATGTGCGCAGGACGTGGGTCGTGGGCTGTGGGCCGAGGGCAGGAGAAGCCGGGGCCTAATAAAAGCCAGCTCGGTTTATTTTTATCCGCTGTCTTGGGCTTCTTCACGTGTGTGTGCCGTCGTCCGTGTGCTTGCCTATTTGAGTTGCTGTGCACTGAGCATACACACGAGCACACGAGAAGAGCGGAGCGGAGTAGGGAAATGGGTTACGTGTTGAATAATGCCAGCTGTTAACAAATTCCAAGGGGTCTCAGACTGCAACAGATACTGCGAGTGGGTGTGGGCGTGTGGGCGTGCGGGCGTGCGGGTTTGATTGCTTTGAGCTTCATTAGATAAATGAGGTCGCAGGCTGAGGTAAGCTAACAGATGATGCTGCTCTGTTTAAACAGGGTGGAGCTTTAGTAGGCGCTTCAATAAATTGAAATACCAGCTCAAAGGAAATTGCTTGAATCAGCAGAAAGTTCATTTAGCAATTTGCTGTGACATCTCGCCCCATGAGTCAGCAGCCTCCGTCAATGAGTCGTCCGAGGCAGTCCATTAGAAAGTGCAGTGGAAATAAATAATGTCATAGTGGGCCTGGCCAGGCCAGGGACAGGGCCAGAGACAGGACACGTGGCCGGCACAGAGTCAAGGTCAATGCGCTTGTCTGACCGGCCCAAAACGGCGAACTACGACAGACCCCCGCAGAGAATGGCCTGCACTCAAAATCAATACTAATTTTCCCCCCTTCCGCTCTTTCTCTCTTGCAGGCTGCATACTGGCCGAGCTGTACACGGGATTCCCGCTCTTCCCCGGCGAGAACGAGGTGGAGCAGCTGGCCTGCATCATGGAGGTGCTGGGGCTGCCGCCGAAGGTGCTCATTTCGGTGGCCAGGCGTCGGCGTCTGTTCTTCGACTCGAGGGATGCGCCGCGCTGCATCACAAACACCAAGGGGCGGAAGAGGGCCCCGGGTAGCAAGTCACTGGCCCAGATCTTGCACTGCCAGGATCGGTACTTCATTGACTTCCTGCAGCGCTGCCTGGAGTGGGATCCCGCGGAGCGGATGACGCCCGACGAGGCGGCCCACCACGAATTCCTACAGCCCTCCACCTCCAGTCGCCATCGCAGCTGCCGCATGTCGAGCAGCTCCTCCAGCTCGGGCCTGAACAGCGTCTCCCAGAAGTCCTCCTGCTACAACTTCGCAGAGATCTCACCAGGCAGCGGAGGGCCCGTGGTCGCGTCCATCACCAGCACCACTGCAGTAAGCAATGCGGCCATCACCACCACCAAGTCTAGACAGCCGCAGCAACAGCAGCAGCAGCAGAGTCACAGCCACAGCAACCACATCAACCACACGAGCCACAGTCACGCCCAGTCGAATGGACACCTGCCCGACATCAAGCTGAGCGCCGGCGATAAGTACAACAGCATGCAGAAGGTGGCGGTGCGCTCCAAGATCACCTCAAGCGTCTCCGACCTGGAGTCCGTGCAGCAGTACTCGCTGCACCGCATATACGGGGGCGTGGGCACCGGCAGCACCCACCACGTCTCCTCGGCGGCCACCAGGAAGCATCTGAACGGGGTCAGCAACGTGGGCGCGTCTTCCAAATACGGCAGCTCGACACTGGCGCACAACCATCACAATGTGAACCACCACAACGCGTCGACGGCCACGCTTGCCACGGCCACCCACCATCACCATCACCACGCAGCAGTCGGCCAGCCGGTGAGCAATGGTGCGGCCAGTGGCGCCATGTCGCACTCTCAGTCCACTGGCGATGTCTCCGACAGAGCCATCTTTGGGAGGGCTTGACTCCGAGCCCGCCCCACCAAACTGGAGCTCAAAAAGTGCAAGCTGGTCAACATGATGGACTTCTGGAGCTAGAAGTGGCGTCCACAGCAGTGCGCTGCCGTCAAGGAGCGCGAGGAGGAGCAGTAGCGGTAGCAGGAGCAGGAGCAGGAGTAGGAGTAGGAAAGGGACTCTGATTCAGCCAGTCCCTGCCTAGTTATAGTATCTGTCCTATAAGCTACATAGGAAGATATAATTGTGCGCCGCTGTGAGCGCAATGCTGTTGTACTCCCACTTGCTCCCAAACACCATCCACCCCCACTCGAAATATGTATGTAGGTCCATCTAGGATAGTCAGTCCCCTTGCGGTTCTGGTTCTTGCAGCACTTTGCAGTATTCTCTAAGTTTCCCCAAACTATCTTATTTCGCTACTGCCATAGCCAAAGGTATTCCCTATCGTATTCTCCAAACCCCCCCGAAAGTATTCTCTTCCCTCCATTTTTGAACAGACCCGTGGCAAGGTGTTGCACGGTGGCATCTACACGAAAAGTGTACTCTTCAGCATGAACAAAAGAAACCGTCAGATAAAACGAAATCAGAAGCCAGCTCAAAGGAACAACATACCCTAGATATAGTGTATAAGATATGGCATATACTAAACATAGATGTAGACAACATTTGTAACGACTCACCCAACGCATCTCCAACTCCCCAACTGCCCCACTCTCACACATACATACATATACATACTCGTATTTTTAGGGTCACGTGTGTACACGGGCGACTCAAATCTGTAACAATTTCATACAGCTTCCATGTCTTTTGCAACAGTATCAAGGCTGTTATTAGTTACATATGCAAAACAGAAATGAAATGTATCTATATATCTTTAACTGTAATTGTAACTGTTACTGTAACTGTATTCGTAAGTTAAGAGCTCGGGTCGGGGTGCGTTCAATGGCCAACCCACACATCACAGCAAGCTAGCCCCCAATCAGCGTGAAGTTGCATGATCGATTTGCATGAGAATGAATGAAGTAATACCCACACAGAACGAGTATGAGGTCCCACGCCCCTTTGCCCCCATCTGCACGGAATACATGTCATAATTTAACGAAAACACATATTTAATAAACATTAGATTTAGCATAACTCTAAGCTCTATAATCATTTGTGCAGATAAGCCAACCAAAACGGCCAATACCACAATAATTAGAAAATTCAGAAGATGAGAACAGAACAGAACAGAACAGAACAGAATAGCCGTACAATAATTATAGAGCGCCGGCCACATCTATGTAAACCGTATTAGTGGAAGAAAATCAAGCAAATAAATAAAATTTTATTCAAATTACAGTTTGTTCATTTTAAAATAGACAGACACTAAACAAAGAAAACAAAACCACTCGAGCTGGGTAAAAGTGTGTGTTTACCGAGTCTAGACTGTCGTTAGAACGATGTTTGTAGCCTAACCCGTAATACCGTAATACCGTAAGTTTAGATAACACTGTAAACAAATTGCAACTTTTGCTCATGACTTTTGGATATATCGCATTGCACTAGACTAGACTACAATATCTAATATTTACAATATGAATAGTATGTACTCGACTCGTATAGTATGTATACCATACCCACAGCTGCGATCCTTGGAGCTTGTTTCGTATTATTTATAAATTTGTTCTCTGCCACTCGTCGTAACTCGTACATATGTATTATGTATATCCAATACTTTCTTCAATGTATGTTTTATTATGGATTTTGACAAAAACAGAAACAAAACCACAGCAAAACAAAACTTGATTTACAAAGTGTGTTCGAATTTAACGTTTAGTATTTAAATTAAATTAAACTAAATGAAGGAAACCATATAAATGGAAACCGACTTATAATTACAAAATACATATATACGTATATATCAATTTTAAATTAATGAACCATATTAATTGTATAAATCGAGAAAACGACATGTAATCAATTACAACTACAAGAATTACAACAAAAAAAGGAATAAATGAAAAATTATGTACTCAAAAATTCGACTTTTAATTGAATGCCGAGAAACGATTAATGCAGATCTTTTGATATGAGCACCCATATGTATAAACACGTTATGAATCCACCTGACCTAGATGAGTGGCCAACGAAATAGAGTAACCGCTAAAAATCTTTCTTATTTCGAGAAGTTCCTAATATTCCTAATCAAGGGCATTTCCGCCCACAGTGCATTGCTCAGAATGTAGATGTACAAGTACATGATACATTCTACACGAATTCTGCGCACAAAATACATCCGTTTCCTTTGCATACTATTCGGCTTGCTCATGTAGGAAATCTTCTGTCAAATACGTGTATAACGTGTAAAATTACCCCGATTCTCAGTGTCTCTAAAATTTGTCCATTTATAGTATATATTTATATTATATCAGTCTATTATACAGTTCTAAGTTCCAGTTGAACATATAGGGAGTAACTTTAATATTCCGTTTTCTTTTGCTCAACTTCAAACGCGAATAAAATGCATAAAACTATAAAAAAATAAAAAAATTTTGATGGTAGAATAAAGATTACCTTTTCATAGAGGGATTAGTGATTATGTTTTAAATTGAAAGATAAAATATAGTTTAACAAAAAAATCACCAAAATTTGCGTTACTTGAATATTCGTTTTTTTCTTATATGACTAAAAAGACAAGATGGCTCTCAAAGCTCAAAAAAGCGTAAGTATACCCGATAATCGAAATGAGTGTACAGTTAGTATAAATGAGTATATTTGTGGTGAAAGCGGATGTGTGTAACGTCCAGAAGGAAGCGTTTCGGACCCCATAAAGTATACATATATATTCTTGATCAGCATCAATAGCCGAGTCGATTGATCCATGTCTGTCTGTCCGTCCCTACGAGCGCCTAGTGCTCAGAGACTATGAGAGCTAGAGCAACGACATTTTGTATCCAAACTTCTGTGATATGTCACTGTTACAAGTGTATTTAAAAACATCGCCCCGCCCCTTTCCGCGCCCACAAATGACGAACATCTGTGGCATCCACAATTTTAAAGATACGAGAAAACCAAAAACGTATCATAATTATTGCCAGAATTATGAAAAATTTTAATTTTCTTTCGCTCTGTCTTTCTGTAACACACACGTTTCATGGTCGGCTTTACCTTTCGCAAAAAGTGAGCGCGTTTATCTCAGATACTATAAGAGCTAGAGTAAACAAATTTGGGATCCACACTCCTGTGATATCGAACCTGCACATGTGCACTTCAAAATTTTACCCCACCTCTTTAAGCCCCCGCAATGGACGAAAATCTGTGGCATCCACAAATCGCAGACTATCAGAGCTAGAGCACCCAAATTGTGTACCCATACTTCTGTTAGATTTCACTGTAACAAGTGTATTTCACAATTTCGGTATTCTCCAAGGGAGCCCGCAATAGGCGCCGGAGAAGCTGTATTTTATTACATTTTTTTTGGATCATACAAATTACCATGCATATTATCTAAAATTATGAAAAAGAAATGTACACCAATATTATATCTATATAATACACGCCCGATTTCAAACTGATACGAGCTTCCAAAAGGCGACTCGTTGGAGGGTCGTTCCGTTGTACGTTCTCTTTGCCATCGATTCCAGTGTGGAAAAGCACAACGCAGCGACAGTAAATACACAAAATGCGAAAAGCAGACCTGCGTATGTTTGCATTTTAGCCAAATTCAAATGCATTTTATTACGCAAACTCGCCTGGACAGACTTGGCCATGGAAAATGAAATGGATGGAAATGCATAACAACGCGCGCCCAATATGCCAGGAAAAGCCAGTCGTAGTCACAGTGCAGGTCCTTAAATCCCAGCTCCGTGCTGCTCGGAAATTAGCGAGAACTGGCTACATCGAGACCGTATCCATACTGAGCCAGATATATGTATAACGAACGAAGATGGCTGGCATATTCTGCACATCCAGATAACGCAGTGCCTCGAGGAGTGGCACCGCTCGACCTGCAGTCGCTAGCAGCGCGGTGCAAGCAGGCAGGCAGGCGACTCCAGAGTGCCCAGGCCGAACATGCTCGAAAGACCACCAGGAAAGTTTTTCGCGATGCGTGGGAGCTTATGGTGAGTGCCGGCCTTCACTGATTTGTCAAACCATCAAATTCGAACGGAAGCAATAATAGGCAATCTATCAAAATGTATTAATTTTCCTTCCAGTCTACTTTTGTCGGCTCCACTTCTTCTTTCCCAACGATGGTGATGGTGTCGGTAATAATGATTCCACGTGACACCATTTGGGATGCCTTGAGGGCTCTTCGCGTTGGTTAATTTAGTTTATTTTATTGATTCGTGTTTTTAGTGTTTTTTTTTTGTGTATCTTTCTGTTTGCGTGAACTATTATGCAATTTCCGACAGCGTTTAAACAGAATTGCCAATTTCAGTGTGGAGTTAAGATTTGTATATTTGTACAAATTTGTGTTTGCATTTAAAGCGGCACTTGGTAATTACTTGAGGGGATCGTTTCTCAAAATATTTAATAAACTTCAGCGATTAGACAATTATCCAAAAAAGGTTCAAACCAAATAGAAACACACAACACTGCTGTACTGTACTGCACTGTGCTGTACTATAGCATACCTGAAGATCTTCGGCCTGTCATCAGCTTGACAGCTTCAAATGCACTGCGTTTTGTTTTCACTTTTGGCTCGTAAGTGGTGTGGTGCGTGGGCATTGACAAGGCGCAAGATGTCGGGGAAAGTAGAATTCTAAGTACGCGCTGCGGATCAGCCATATGACTTAATCCAAGACGCCCGGATTCCCAGATTCCCAGATTCCCAGATGCGTCGAAGCGCCCGCCTCATTCTTGAATGAAAAGTAAAAGTTGCCAGCTCACGATCCAGCCATGATCGTTCACACCGCCGAGCCGATTCCCCATGAGGGGAATCGTTCGGGCCGAGCAGTGATAAGCGTCATTGAGTCAAAGGTTTATTGACGTACGGCTGCGGTGGCTTCTTCAGCGCCTGTCCTCTTCTCCTGCCGGCGATCATGATCCCCTCATGCTTGTCGTTGAATGGTGCCCACTTGTTGCCAGGTGAGGCCATCGCAGATCGGGCTCGGATCGGTTCGGTTCGGTTTGGTTGGGAGTTTCGGGTCCGTGGCATGGAGGCTCTCTCGAAGGCCGCTTCTGCTTCGACTTTGTCTGCCTTTTTTCTCCGGTTTGTGTTTTTATATCTTTGCTTCTTTCTTCTTGTGATTATTCGTCGCAAGGTGAAAGTCTTTCTCCCTCAAGCAGTTTGTTGTTGCTATTTGTAAAGCATTTAGTCTCTTTCGGTGTTTCAGTTTTTGCTTTCTGGCTGTCTGGCTGTCTGGCAATGGCTTTTGTTTTTCTGTTAATCTTCGGCAGATACACATATGACTGTCCATTGGTTATTGGTTACCCATTCATCATGATTTGGAGCTGGTCTTTGAAAGTGCAAATTATTCATGCTCTAAGGTCGTTTATCTGCCGCTTCAGAACTTTTCTCGCTGATCTATGATCTCGCTTATGGTTTTTTTAGCGGCTTACATCTATGAGATTTCCTTTCTTTCTTGGGACTAGCCATGATGTCATTCATGGCACTTATCCTCGCTTTTTGTGGGGGAGCGGCTGTTATATCGTTTGCCATAAAATAAATTGCAGCTAGATATAAATGTCTTTGTCAGAGGCCAGCTCGGCAGTTTAGGATACAGCGAGGGCAAGGCTTTGTGGATCATATAAAGAAACTTAGATGACTATCAACAAGGGCAGAGCGATACAGTGAGCAACGATCCCACTACCAATTCGGAGACACAAACAGTTACACCCTCGGCTGGATGTAATTGATCGAAGACAAGATCCCAACTGCCACCGGACATTTTTATAAATTTGGGCATGACCCTGGGAGCTACGTTTTGATGGCATCCTATTAACAATGTAGCGAAATTGGCAATTATCAATCAAAACTGGCTCTGTGTGTGGGAAGTAATTACAAAAACACGAGTCCAAAAGACAGAGAGATTGAGGAGAGTGAGAGAAACACGCAGAAACTATGAAAAAAGCAATTAAAAATCGAGTAATTAGAAATTGATTTGACAAGGGGCTAACTTCCTGAATACTCTCTTGAGTACATCTCTTGGGATTGTGCAAACAATTCAATCCAACCCGCGAGCAGGTGAAAATATATTTTCCACCGATTTGGATATTGTGTAAAGGCTTTTCTCACAGCCCGATCGGTCAACAAAGAAAGCCATCAAATAAAATTTAAGCACACAAAAGCAACCAAAGACCCAAAACCCGAGGAGAGCCGGACTGCAGTCAATGACTTGGACAACCGGCGAGCGAGCCGAACCCCGAACCCCGAACCCCGAACCCCGAACCATAGTATCATCATAGGCCATTATCATTGTCTGTGAGGGCACAAAGCCGAAGCCGAAGCCGAACCTGATAAGCTCTCTGGCGCTTGCTTGCTGATTATGCAATCGCTACTTGAAGGGAGCTCGGGTACGGAACGGTTACTGGTACGGGTGTGAGTATTTTCTAGAATTGCATTTCGGGCTTCGGATAATTGGCTGTTCGGAGTCGGAAAGTTCAAAAATATGTTTCTTGAAGCCGGCGTTGAAATGCCCACTTGATAAACTGATTGATGGATTAGTTGATTAGTCGTTAGACCCGCCACTGAATTGTTTGGGGTCTGGGAAAATTGATGCAATAATTGGGTGGAAAGCTGGAAATGCAATAATTTGTTGAACGGTGTACCACTGTTTCTGATAAGAAATGCGTTGTTTTTTTTGTGTCGGGAACTATGAATGACTTGTTATACAAGAGGAAATCAATTTAATAATTAAACTAACTCGATCGGTTGGGTAGGTCGGAAGAATTGGGAAAGTTGTACAGAGATTATCTTGCGGGGAAAATGTCCAAATCAAAGGCCAGAGTTAAAGGGAAAAATGATGGAGACATTCAACAAAATCACCAAAGAAAAGATCGCCTTAAAGCTTATTTTAGGTCAAAGTGTTGGATGCAGTAGATACTTGGGATCGTTAGGATTAAATATCATATGATAAAGGCACAGATATCATTATGATTTATTCCTTCTTGTGAATGCTGACAGTATTGAGTAAATAAAGAACAGATGAAATAAATTTAATTTAGTTCCTATTCAAACAGTTCCATCCCCAAACAGATCCCCGAGCTACTCATGGCGCGACTGTCCATTAAGAGATCAAATCAAGCATAATGACATGCGGATCCCCTTCCAAATGTACCTTGATGTGATGTAAGCCAGCAGTGATCGCCTTCTGCGATCGCAGCGGGATACCCGCCCGTACAACTGAACGGGAAACAGAGTATTAATCATCGCCATATCATGAGTATATGAATCAGTCCGCAGATGTATTGTTTGTTCAACAAAAGTGCCATAAACTCATAATTAATGCGGCAATGAACATGGAATTCCAATTTCAGGGGCTACTGTGGACAGCAGCCGAGCAGAGACGAGAGACACACGTCTGTGCGCCACGATGATGCTTTAAACGGTGTAAGTATAGTACACCATTCCATTCCATTCCATTCTTTTGGCGCGAACTCGAATTCTCGGACGCCCCCAATCCGAGAGCTTATCTGCACTTCCGAGTCGGCTACGTGATGGCTAGAGCAGTTGCCAGTCGCAATGGCAATCGCAGAAGATGGCTTTTAGATGTGGATGGGCGACTACTTCTGGGTTCGATAAGCGGAGACACTGCAACAATGATTCACGGGAAAAATCCAAGCTCTCTGCATGGCATTTCCTCATGTTGCCGGCTCGGCTCAGCAACACTTTCTCTTTCGAGCGCTCATCTGCGCTCTTTGCTTTCTCTTTGCATTTGGCGGCCTGGCCAAAACGTTGCTTGGCTCAGTCCCTCTTTGACTCTGGCAACATGTTGCCGGCGTGCGATCGGTGCAGCCCCACGATGAGCCCCATCGTCAGCGTCAGCGTCAGCGTCTGAGTCGCGGTCTTCGTTTTGGCATCTTCGTCGCGAGCTTGGCTTAAATTGTTACCAAACGTTTAATGATCTTCAGTTAGTCTTCGAACTTTTACCGGACCAGTCGTGTCTGCGGCTTCCACCTGCAGCTCCAAGTTCCTCACCGCGCCTCGAACGTTAACGGAATTTTAAACACTACTCGAAAAAAGAAGCAGAACCTGCATCATTTGCATAAAGCAAATAGAAATCGAATCGAAACGAAACAAAAATAGCTCTGGCAAAACTTGACTTGGATTTTGATTTTGTGTATCGTTTCCCTATCGCTTATCTGACATATCTGACATACCTGACATTACCCGCGCGCCCCGCCATCGTGTTTGTTTCAAAAGAAAATAGTGCAACGATATTGGATTGATCTATCGGGAGATACCCACCAACAAAAATACGAAATTGGATTCGGAGTTTCGGTGAATCATGCGAGTCTCATTGGCACTGTGGGGCACTCTGTGCCTGTGGGTGGTTACGGCGAATGCACAGGGATTTATTGCGCCACCCAACGCGGGTCTTCATAATGCGGTAAGTCTTGCTTTCAAAGTGTTCGAGGAACAGCTCGTACATCCTTGTTTATGTAATGTTGAAATTGAACATTTTTACCAGTTTTCGATTATCGTTAATCTCGAATATTCATCATTAATTCGATGCCAGTTCAGATTGTGAGCCACATGTGATGGTGATGTTCCACATTCCTACTGACAAAGGCCGTGCCTCATAAACGTCATCTATCCCAAACAATCCCCAGCCCGAATGTGTGCCAAGCAATCATATAAATGAAAGAAAGAAATATTTAACACACAATTTGCATTTCCATTGAATGTTATGCAAATATTTATTGTGGCCACCAAATTGACACAGTTTTTAGATTGTTCGCTCAGGCCCTTGGCCAAAATGGAATCCCAAAGAAAGTTCCCTGGCGCTGAGTAGTACTCGCATAAATATGTCAGACACCACACTTTTTTGGTTGGACAAGTTTTCAGAGACTGCGCCTAAATCTTAAGCAAATCCCAATCTGAAAATTCCACAGACTTGCATAAGACTTTCTACCAAAAGACGCAACCGCATCCAAATACCAAACGGAGGCCCAGATTGAAGTCCGATCTTAAGCGACTATTTAACAATTCAATTATTCAAATATTTGTATTCGAATTTCAATATTAATTGTGGAAGAATTGTGTGTGCTGGCAGCATTAAAAACGAAAACAAAAACGATTTTCAACGCCTCAATGAACTTTCCCTTTTCACAAAAATATTTTGATCGGCCTGGTGGTGCGCTCTACGGAGGGTGGGGAACGGATCTTGATTAAATGAAGATGCAAAGGAAGCAAAGCGCCACGAATCGGGGCAAGAGTAAGAGCATCGGTAAAGGCATGAGACAACGTTTAAGGCATCGTTGCGGGCCGCTGTAGGCCGCAAACCTGTTCGCTTGGAGTGGTCAAGAAAATGAATACAAAAAGAAAACCATCTTTCAACTGCGGATGAGCCGCAAAACTGCAGAGTCATGTGAATGTTTGAGAATTTCCTATGGAGTAACGCATTGGGGCTTGCAAAGTTGAAGGTCTCTAAAGATATTTATGTTATCACCTAGATAATTGATTATCTCTAAGTTTGATTGGAGTTGATCTCGGCTCCAAGCCCATGTTGATGTGAGCTGATCGTGTTTGGCATCCGCTGTTACAGTTTTCACTTTCATGGCTAAGTCCAAAAACTTTTGGCCAAAAGCCACAACAATTTACGATGTGAAATCATCAGTTTTGTTGTCTCCTCTCTTTTGGTTGCCTAAGCTTTATTGTAGGATGAACTAATGCCTATAATTGAGACTTGGATTACGTAAAAAGATTAATTTCGATATTGTTCAAGCTGCAGGCAATGTTTTGATACGGGATTATGACGGGCTGGCGCTGGAGCTGGAGGACTGGAGGACTGGGGGACTGGAGGGAAAAAGTGATGAAGAGACATTGATCATCAGAGCTGATGTGTGTGCGGCTTTGGAGTGCATGTACGATAGACAAAAGGAGATACATGTATAAGAGATATACGTGTATAGAGAGAGTCGTATGTGTCCCTTGAATTCATTTTACCCATCACAAATCACAAATTTCTTCAGATGAATCCCATCTCGCACTGCATTGTCCTTAACCTTTGCAGCCATTGACGCAGCCATTGACTTGCCGATTTCCTTTTCAATAAGCTCAGCCATTTTTCCAACCAAAGCGTTGGAAAAACGTGTCTTGCACCCGATAGCTGCCAACATCATCTCTCACCATTGACATAAGTTTGCTTTGGCAATGGCCTGCGATTGCGATTTTGGTTGCAACAGAAGCAGCATCAAAGGCTTAGCCAAATACAAAGAGGGAAAAAGTGCTTTTCAGCCGTATCATCATCTTCCTTTTGTCTGGCAGTAAACAGGAACTGGTCGAAGCCGATGCTGATGCCGATGCCGAGGTTGGAGTCGAAGTTGCAGTGGATGTCTTAAGAGTTTTTTGTATTTTGTTTTGTTTTTGGGACTTGGCGTCTTTTCGGTGGCTCTGCAATTTCCTTTATGCGATTTGGTTTTTGTTTTTGCTATTGCTTAATTTTATTTTAACTTTTATTATTTTGTACATTTATATTGCCTCACGTAGCATTTGCAGTTGGGCTGCTGTGTCGTGTATTCAGAAATTGCCGCCAACTTGGCAGCTAGCAGCCAGGCAGGCAATGGCAATCGGCTGCTAAGCAACAGAAACATCTGTTGCCCAGCTTCCACGTCCATCCAGTCCAGAGTTCACTGCGAGTGCGCTCCAGTCCCAGTCCCCAAAACAGAAATCCCCATCCATCCCGACAGATACAACAGTTTGCTGTCTGTCGTCGAACATGTTTTGCTGGGCCTGCCCGCCTGCCTGCAAAATTGTTTGCAAAACCTTTTTGTTTTTGCTTTTATTCAATATGTTTATTTATATATTTCTTCTTGGGCTTTCACTTTTGCGGATTTCAGCAATATATAAGATGATATATATATATATATATATATAGAAGAAGACATAAATTCTTAAACAGAAGAAGAAGAACTATCGCCATTTGGGGATAGTAACTTCTAGTAGTAACATTTAAAACACTAATTATTTTATGGTCTTTAATTGATAACCGATCCTAATGGAAGGCTTTTCACATACCCATAAGCCGAAAAAGCCATCCGTGATATTATACAATCGATCTTACATTTAAAATGTTTCTTATTTATGGTATAGCTTATCATTTTCGATTAAATGTTGCCGAAGCTGAAAATATGACAGACATTTCCCATTGATTTACCTGTGGCATTCATTAAAACTGGTTGGCAATAATTGTATATATCTGACAGACATGCCCTCGGTCTCGGCCGGCCCTACAACCTGTTCATTGTCGGTTGGCTTTTGTTGCCTCAGCACCAGAAACAGCACCACTAACATCCACAGCAACAATCATAACAACTCGCCGCACATTTCATTGTAATTTCTTTTTGCGAGTTTGGTTCTGGTCGTTTTCATGGCATGGAAAGTGGGTCAATCGAGAGATCTTTATAAGTATTGTTGTTCGGTTGCATATTTATCTGAAAGATATTTCAGTAAAGTGACAAACTGTTAATGGATTTGGCTTGAAAAATGAAAGTTGTTTTGTCGAGCCACAGGAAGGTGTCCACTCGAGAGAAAGAGAGAGGATGATGGCACTTGCTAGGGCCGAAGAGCTAATCAAGCTTAGGGCCCAATCATCGCACCCCGATCGTCTTTGATGAAGTCTCTGTTTCCCCAGTTTTCCACTTGAGGAAAGTAACAAGCTGCCATTAGCCAGGCGCCACACTAAATCGATTCGCATCAAACAAATCCCATTGCGATCGCCTTTCAGCTGCTAACCACAAACAAATAAAATAATTGAACGCTAATCACACACTGAGAGGAGGGGAGGAGGGACCCAATTGGGGTCTGGTGGGTCTGGGAGTGGGCCTGCCCCACCATTAGTTACTTCTTTCTCAATTTTGTTTATTTTCGTTGGACGCCGTGCGGTCTGATTTAATTTGATTTGCTTTGCTTCCAACTGGTTTTCAGTTTTCATCTGATTGAGAATTAAATCAATTTCGCTTTTGAATGAGGGGAAAATTGCTCGAAAAGTAAATGAAACCGAAGTGTCATGCCTGATTGGGCAGAGGAGTAAATGGAAATGGGAATGGAAATGGGAATGGAAATGGGAATGGAAATGGTAATGGAAATGGAGTAAGAGTGCTGCCCAGGAAACGAATGTAAACTCTAAATGCAGTTGTGATATAACTTGGATTATGAAATACCCTGTTCAGTTGAGTTTCTCCAGTCTGTGACCCACATTTGAACCTAAGTAGAACGTCGCGATGTTGGCTGATTAAAAGTTGAAGACAAATTACTTCCAAGAATCGCGGATCTCACGCCGGCAGACTCGGGACACGTGTATGGGGGCGTCTTCCGCTTTCAATGGTTCCTCATTACTCTTCCGACTTCTCAATTATTAAGTCATTAACATGAACTGTGATCTCTCCCGTGCAGAGGAGCGTCTGTTCCGTATAATTTAATGGAAACGATCGGAGGCATTATCTGAGGAAACAATAATTTCACATGCCAATTGCGGGCAAACCTTTTGGCTATTTAAATGACGCACAGCGTCTGTCAGAGGGGGAAACGGGAAAAGAAAGTAAAAGGGCTCGGCGATATAACTCATCGCCTGTTATTGACAGGCGGGCGGCCGAGTGGCATCTCATCTGTGAGATCATTAAAAGTCGCTTGGATTTCCCAAAAAACAGCAATGTCAGATAATGTTCGAGGAAAATCGGGTTTCTCATAGTTATTTTTGCCTTACAAATTACAAAATACGACAATTAGGAATTGGAAGTTGGAGTCGCCTGATGAATGCCGCAATTAAATGTGGTATGTGCAGTAAATATATCAAGGCAATTTTCACCCACCATGGAGCAGGCATCGGCAGCGGCAGCAGTACCCAGTAACCAGTACCCAGTACCCAGTACCAAGTGCAGCAAGTGTCAACTTCCGCATTACTCATACGCCACGTGAAACGGGTTTGGCGGCAGTGTACTGCAGCCTCAGCTGCATCTTCTTTCTCGCAATAACTCAACACGACTATGGCCAAAAGTCAAACGATCCTCGCCGAGGCTTCGCTTACCCCACACGTAATGCAATAGCCAAGCCCAAAGATCTGGTCGGGACAGGGACCTCCGAGCCTCCCGAGGCAGTTCAAGCTGAAGCTGGCAACCCGTTATTGCCCGATGCTGTTGCACTTTCGTTTTTCTTGTTGGGGCTCTGCCTTTTGTCTGGGTGAAAAGTTTATTGCGCGAAAATGAAGAAGCGTTTGTTGCTGGCACAGAGTTCCAAAACAAGATTTGAAATAACCCGCTGCTGCTGCTGTTGCTGCTGATGATGATGGTGTGGCACTGGCAGCCTCCAACCCAACTGCAATGGAATCTGCAACTGCTGCTGGGACTGGGGCTGGGGCCGGGGCCGGGGCCTGGTCTGGCCTGGTCTGCC